ATCGAACAAGTAGTTTTGAGTCCGGATTATTGGTCCCACGAGAACTATACTTTGGAATTTAATTTAATTTAATTTTTTCTTACTACTATTCAAAAAAAGCAAATAAAGATTTGTATATTGTGATTTTTAATCTAAATACGTGAAAATATCAAAATTGCACACAAAAGTCGAAGGAATATTCAAATATGAGATGATATTAGAGCATAACAATTACATCTATTGATCACTTTTAAATCTTAATTCAAGATTCATATTTGTAGTGTTCGATCGAATTCTTCTATTGTATTTAATTTATCACTCTTGAGTTTTCATTGAGTCTATTTAATTAATTCAATTCCATGTCTATATGTGAATCAAGCTTAGTTAAGTGAAACATTGGTTCTAACAATTCATACATGATCGCTGTAATTAGCATAGGTATCTCTACACATTATACTAATTTACCGAATTTTACTATATGGTCTAAATCCTAAACTCACCTCTCAATTCGTAGAAGATTCACAAAATCATCATATTAATGATCAAGCAATCAATGCATTAAACTCATAGTAAAATCAACACATGAAAGATAAAAGAACAAGAAACTTGAATAAAAGAAATAAAAGGCCTCAACAGATTACATTGTTTGCCCTAATATTAAATTTAGCTATCATGGTGAATGAAGAAAAACAAATAACAAAATGGAGAGCGTCATCGGATTTTGAATTGAGATGTAGAGAGGTGGATGAATCTTGCATCAAGTTCCTCTTCTCGTTCCAAATCTTGATTTCAACCTGTTGAGTTATTAGTTTTCTCCTCTTGAATTTCCTCTCTAATGCTCTAGTTGTATATTGTGTCTCTCAATGTGTGGAATCCCCTTTTGAAGTTCTCAATTCTTATATTTATACTCCCCATCACGTCCTCCCTAAAATTGGAGTCTTTATAGGCTTTTCATAGACCAAATCGAAGTAACACAGAAAAAATGGCACAGTGCCTAAGCCCTAGAAAGAGGTGCTTAGGCACTACGAAGAAATCCAATGTGGCACCTAGACGCTATACGTATGGCTCCCAAGTGCCAATGGGCCTGGGCGCTATGCGTGCAACGCCTAGGTGCTGCCTTTTTGTTCCAAATTTCTCCTTTTTGCAAGTGTAGCATCTGAGTGCTGAGTTGCTACACCAAATTCTTTTATTTTGATTTCTTTGTCCCCTTTAGTAACAATTTTTACATTACCTCTCAAAACAACACTAACAAATATATAAAAAACGTTCTATACTTTTTTAGTTTGATTAATACTTTTTCAACTTAGAAGTTTGAGAGATTTGATGTTTAAATTCTTATACAGGAGGTTGGGGAAGGCTAAAATTTTGACGGAAAGATTAACTTGTAAGTATTTAATAAGAAACTAAGGAAAGGGTAAATGTAGAATCTAATGTAGGTTAGCGTATTAGGTCCGTTAAGTGGTTTGCTAATTAGAAAAAAATGTATGACACGAGTATCTCCAACTACTAGGGTGATATAAACCTTGTCTACAGATTTCATAACCAAATGATAAAGAACATGAATAGAGATAAAACTTCAGGCAAAGTTCTTTTGATTTATGGATCACATGGCCTTTTGATTTCTTATTGGATTAAGTGTGGCTTCATAAAATCAAGAATTTTGATTATATTGAAATCGAATGTTTTCAGAATTTTGATGGAAATGAAGAATGAATGAAATGATAGGTAATCATTGATGGGTATAAGTACACATTAAAGCTCATCAAGAAGATATCGTACGAGATTAATCAATTTATTAATGCATTTACTAGGTTTTATAGAAGTTTATAGTTGTTAATGAAAAGGAAAAGTTGATTAGAGGAAATGAGAAGAAACATCCCCTATAGGACAGGAAGAAGTACACAAAAAGGAATAAAGAGTGTGGCAATTTACTTTAGAGGTATTCCTTACATAAACTACCTTCAATGAGAAGAGAATGGTTACAAGGATAGTATCTTGCCTTTTTGTTCTCTCTTCAGTTTTTTCTATCAGCATTATGGATTTGAGAAGTTAAATTGTCAAATCTAAGTTGTCAAACTATGCATTTACACACATGACTTAGTGTTGAACTTTTTTTTTTTAATGGATGTGTGTAGTTCGGGAAAATGTAATTTGCAACTTAGAAAATTTTTGAGTGCACTGTTCTACATCAATTTGTTTCTACAAGTAACATATTGAAAGATTAGAGAGACACGGTCTTCTCAATTTTTATACTTCTTTTCTTATGATTTTGATCATTATGTTTTTTTGATTGACGTCTTCAGGAGAAGGCTGATATTGGAGATGCAGATGGTGCCAAGCCTTTAAAGTTTGATGGCGTTGAGGTATGCCCTTTTGTTACATTGTGTCATTTGAAATTTAGTTGATTGTTGTGTAAGATGGTTATTTTCTGCACAAAAATACATGTAAATATTTGATCTTGACCAGTGTACAGGTCTTTTTTCTTACCATTTACCAATAAAGTTCACCAACTCATATATTGAAGTTCTTGGGGTTAGAAGATATAGAATGCTGAACCAATATTTGTGTTTCATGCATAGATGTGTACATATGTTTTATTGGTATTGCTTACAGCTTGTGGAAGTTGATTTATCTGTGTTAAGGTATAGTCATAGGGCAAAAACATCGTGTCAGAAGCATGCTTCAGAAACTTTCCAATTGGACCTTGTAAAACGGGGAGGTAAACGAGATTTAACGCTATTTAGAATGTAATATAATTTTCACTGAACAGTATGAGAACTCCCCTTATTTTGATAAAATTATTTTTCACCAACAATCATTAGTTTTTGCTATCAGATTGCTATAAATTAAGTCCCAATAAATTCTATTTTCGAGTGGGGGGTTTTCGCATTGTTATCTTTTCTATTTTATTTCAGTTTGTTTCTTAGTTTGTATGTGTGTAAATATGTCTGCATGGAAATGAAAGAATTTTTGCCCTCCCCAGTATATGTGGAGTTCTAGCAGGAATAGTATCATGAAATGAGAGATGAAGAGTGTAACCCTTTTTTGATTGAGATTATCCTTCCAATTTTATACCTATTGAAGAAATATCTTATCAACTTATTATATAACTTTTGATGAATAATTCATCTTTTAACGTTTCTCAATTGATTTAGGATTGATCTTCATTTATTAGCTTAATTGATAGTGCTTTTGATCTAACTTGAGTTAAAAGGATTATGATCAAACTTATAATGCTAATGGTTCAACTTGGATCATTTAAGTAACTTGATTGTCCTTAATCCACATGTAAAAGGATTTCTTGTGTTCTTGAATCATATAATGTTATAAATCTCTTTGCATGCTCAATAAGAGAAATTTCATCCTAGTGTAGTCGTAGTAAACATTCAGTTGATGATGTAATTTACAAGAATTCAAAACATCTAATGCTCTAACATTACCTTCAAAATAGTCTAGCCCGTGCAAAGACTAGTATTAGTAAAAGAATCAATGACACAATTTTTGTCAGGCAAAAATGCGTTGACAATGTGCGCTCATGAATTGAAAAGAAGTAAATAAGCTAGATGGAAGAAGGAAAGGAAATACTATGGCACTCTATGTTTTCTATGCGTCATTTAACATGATAGGAAACCAGATGTTTTCCCAAGATTTGTGATGTGATCCAAGGAAGGCAACAAACTTACAAAGATCCAGTTCAACTTAAAAGGGAACCAAAGACAAGATCAAGAGTTACGGAGGATCAAGGTGGTCACGGAATGAGTTGTTCGAGATACGAAAGCCAAGAGCTCAAGTACAACAAACCAAATAACAACTTACATGTTGGACATGAAGGCCGGATCAAGTTTTTGGTACGCTGGTTTCAAGTTTTGGAAGATATATGAAAAAACGAGAAGCGTGGATAAAAACGTGCATAACTTTCAACTCGAGTATCGAATTTTCACCTATAAATACAATTCGAAAACGTCACAAAATTTTGCACATGAGAAAATAAGAGTCAACATTAAAGCTATGCGATTGCATAGCTTAAAAAGGGATATGGTTTGTCGAATTTTCGCCCATTGTGAATTCGTTTTTAAAATTAATATTTTTTTTATTTTTATTTTTTCACAATTTTCTATGATTCTACAAAATATATTATATGGGGTATAGTACCCTACTAGTCCTAAAAGTTCTTAAAAAGCTTTTTCTTATTGCGGCAACTTTTAATAAATATAGAAATGGTTTTGATTTTACTAATAAATTATATTCGATGGAACTAAATTTTAAATAAATTTGGAAAGACTTATCTGTTATTTTCTTCAGCTTATGTAATGAACCCCATGTACAATTTTAAAGATATAAAAAATGATATAAGAAAAATTACAAATGCTTTAACCCTTGTTTGAGCCCCATTTTTGGTAGGAAAATGCATTTTTGAATAATGTATTGATAAAAAATGTGTAATTAAAAAATAAAGAAAAATTTTATATTTGCGTGTACTATTAAATGATGTCAAAACACTGTTAAAAAATATTTTTTTTCAAAAAATATGACTCAAACAAGGGCTTAAATTTAGTCATAAAATGCTTAAAACCGTAGATTTCGCTGATACAATGATTAAAGTACATCATGAAGCTAATATGGACAACATTAATTAACTACACCAAAAAGTCATATTCTTTCACTCCCATTTGCATAATGTCGGCAGTCCGTGTGGACGGTGGTTGTTATATATTCAACACGAAGCTGCTTCCTCTGTACATAACACTCGTTTGGTTACCCTCATGTATTATTTATAATCAAACAAATTATTTTTCATCTACATATTTTGTGGGACCCATTAATACTGCTGACTTATTTCTCACTCTTCAAGCCCTTGTTTGAGCCCTGTGCTTCCCAAAATTTATTTTTTTTTAAAACTTATTTTCAACCGCATATTCTTTAATAAAATAATATTAAATACAAACCTAAAACTTTTTCTTAATTTTTAATCATACATTCTCCATCAATCATTATTTAAAAATGCATTCTTTCCCTTAAAATGGAGCTCAAACATGGGCTAAATTCACATATCTTTGTCAGCCCTTCCCATAAGTTTGTTCTCCAAGTTTCTGCCTCTCTCTTCCATGATCCACTCTTACTACAATCTCCTTTAAGTCAATTTAGGCTTACTCTTGTATTGCAATCTTGAAATGAAACAACTTGATTAATTCTTTCTACCATTTTGGGTCAAATATTTGAGGAAAAAAACTGATATATTTTTCACATTTAAATTTTCTGATGGATCTTAGTAGCCATAAACTCTATGCCCATGAATCACAAACTCTATCTCCCTTCACAAATTCACCAACCTCGCCATTGCATTCATCTCACAATAATTTTCCCATTATAGCAGCTGCCATTATCGGCATTTTTGCCATTACTATTTTGCTGCTCAGCTATTACATCTTTGTCACCAAATGCTTCTTTAACTTGCATCAAATCAATATCCTTACGCGTTTTTCTGTATCCAGAAGGCAACATTTTGAAGATCTTTCAACATTTTACTCTCCAGAAGTCGAAAAAAGAGGTCTAGATGAGGCTGCAATTAGATCAATCCCATTATTTCAATACAGAAATAATATAGGAAAGGATAAACTTGCAGAAGGATGCTATACGGATTGCGTGGTTTGCCTGAATGAATTTCAAGAAGATGAGAAGCTAAGAATCATTCCAAATTGTGGCCATGTTTTTCATATAGATTGTTTAGACATTTGGCTTCAAAAGAATACTAATTGCCCTCTATGTAGAACAAGCATTTCATCCACCAAAATGATTCCACTTTGTGATCAAATTCTTCCTCTAAACACTCCTCCTCAAGACTGTATCGTCATTGAAATAAACGAATTATCATCCATTTCTCCTTCACCAAGAAAATTAGAGCCAAAAATACATCGAAAAGTGAGCAGAAAATTGAGTCATGTTTCCAGCATGGGAGATGAATGCATTAACAGCAGAAAGAAAGAAGAACAGTTTAGAGTTGAACCAATAAGAAGATCTTTTTCCATGGATTCAGCAGCTGATAGGCAGCTATATTTATCTATTCAACAAATAATAAAGCAGCAAAGTGAGGTAGCTGATGAAGGTTGCAGTAGCAGAGTGAAAAGATCATTCTTTTCTTTTGGTCAAGGATGGGCTTCAAGAAATACGGTTCTAACCTTGGACCAGTAGGGCTACAACAGTATCGTTGTTTTTTTTTTTTTAAGATAGAAATAGGGGTGTCTTAGATTTATGTAATTTTTATACATTTTGGAATTCGATACATCTAGTTGCTGAAAAGATACAATTTATTCAAATCTTTGCAACTCTTTCTAGCATACTCTAATAGAATCATATAATTTCTTAAATGCGAACTTATTTTATTTATAATTTGTTTGATTGTGTCTAAATCACAACAGCGTATTTACTATAATGAAGCACAACAAATCAAAATTTTGTCCATGTAGCTACAAATTATAAGTGTATACATAAATATATTTTATTCATAAAAATGAACAAAAAAAGATCAAAGACTATATGTAACATTCTTCTGTGAGTCACCGACGCCTTTTATTTGCAAAGTAAGCTGATTGCAGTTACTTCGAGTGGACTGTCATTTTCTTCGTTTAGTCTAGAGCTTGAGGTCGGCTTTGAATTTTGCGACCAACATGACTCTTGGATTAGTATGTAAAATTTTAAGTATATTTGATTAAAATTAGTTGTTGACTTTGATTTAAATTAAAATATTAATTTTAATTTCTACCAGATAAGCTTATTTTTTGTCGAAGGATTACTTGGCCTCTGTTTGATAGTCATTATTCGAGAAAAATAATGTTTTGAACAAATTTTTTTAGAAGAGTGTGTGATTAAAAAGTAAGAAAAATTTTAAATTTATATGTAAAATATTTTATTGTAAGAAAAATTTTATTGTAATATATATATATATATATATAGGCATCAAACTGGGACTTACTGGTCCATGGTTTTGAGATAAAAAATCTTGCCCTTGTTTGGTCAAAAATTATTTTTTAATCACATATTCTTTAAAAAATTATTATTTCAAAATACAGTATTTTCAAAATAATCAGGGTCAACCGAGGGCTTAATTTGATCTTAAAGGACAATGGCCCATCATCAGATGCATTATTGCTTCCCTTATGGTTTTGAATTTAAAATTATTTAAAAGCAATAAGTAAAATATTTACAATCAGAAAATGTTCATAGTCAATGTTGCAGGTTGAGAATGGGGTCCACCCTGAAGTTGGAGAAAGTTGACCACAAGTTTCAAAGACAAAGTCGTTCACATTGACTGAAGAGTCGGTTTGATGCAACGTACGCGTCTAATTTTAATTTGTAAGCACGCAATGTTTGAATTGGATTATACTACCATAAATTCAGATTTCAATTTAAATCAAATTTAATAATTAATTTTAATCTCACACACACTAATTTAGATGACTATGTTGTCATCACAACTTCTTTTATTCGGCTGCTTTTTAATTGCAATGATGGTATCCACCATTTGCTTATTATCGTAGATATGTCCTTAACTTATTTTTTATCAATTCTTATCCTGAATATTTCATCCACAAAAATCACCCGTGAACATTATCGAGCAGAGCAATACAATACTAAGTCCTTGTTTGAGCCCCATTTTCCAATAATATATTTTTCTCCAACCTTATTTTTAATTATACATTCTCTTAGTGTTTGTTTGGAATGAAATTTGATAATTGATTTTTTGACCATTATAAATAAAGTGGGTTCTATATGTGAGAGAAGAATTCAAAAATGACAGCTGAAATAGTAAAATAATGGTCAAAAAATTGATTTTAATTAAATTAAAATCTTAACCAAACAAGCTCTTAATGAAATAATATTACATATAAACCTAAAATATTTTCCTACTTTTCAACCATACATTCTCCAAAAGTTTACTATTTCAAATCTATTTTTACCAAATAATGGGACTTAAACAAGAGCTAAATAACTAAAGTATCATTCTCACAAAAAAATATTTTACCGAATATTAGATTATTTGTTTTAATTAAAGTTTTAAAAAAACACGAAAATTATCTAACTAAATTAACTTTATAAAAATATTCTAGAAGACCGAAGTGTTTTTGCGTGAGATTACACCATAATTTATCCGATTCAATTCGTTTTACCTAGTTCTGATAATACACATTCATTCAAACGATCAGAATTTCATAATTTATTTGGACTCTCTTGAATAAATTCAAAATTTCTTTTATGTGAATTGAAATTTTGCGAAAGTTATTAAAAACGTGAAAAGTCATTTAGCTTAATTTTTATTAACAAACATGTAAGTAGTTGATCATGACAATCCGACGGCCTTTATCTAGCACATATCTTATCAATAGTTTCAACTGTTCTTTCAATAATTTCTGGTCCCAAATTTGTCTTTTCTCTTTCTTCATCCCATTGAACTGGTGTTCAGCATCTTCTACCATGAAGGGCCTCATACAGTGTCATTCCAATATTTACCCGAAAACTATAATTTATATACAAATTTTACCAAAGGTGGATACGATTCCCAACGGCTAAAAACACAGGTGTTATAATCAACCTTTGCTTTAACTCTTGAAAATTTTGCTAACACTTATCCATCTATTAAAACTTTACTCATTTTCTTGTCGGTTGTGTTATTGGTCCAACTATCTAGGAAAATCCTTTGATAAATCTTCGATGGCACCCGGTCAACGTCAGAAAACTTCGAACTTCACCGGCATTAGTTAGCATATTACAATTAGTTACTGCTTCCACTTAATTGAATCTACTTTAATTCCTTGAACAATAACTACATGATCGAGAAACCCAACACGCTTCATCCAAAACTCTCGCTTTTTAAATTTGGTGCATAATTATTTCTTACGCGGTATTTCTAACGCTATTCTAAAATGTTTCTCATGCTGGTCTTTTATTCTTGGAGTATATCAAAATGTCATCAATGAAGACTATGAAAAGTATTGATGAAACACACGATTTATTAAATCCATGAATATTGTTGGAGCCTTAGTCAATGCAAACAGCATAACAGCAAATTCATAATGCCCATAACAAGTTTTGAAAGCCCTATTAGGTATGTCACTCGCCTTAAACTTCAATTGATTATATCCAAATCATAGGTCAATTTGGAAAAATACCTTAATCCCTTTTAATTGATCAAATAAATCCTCAATTCTTTGTGGAGGATTCTTATTCTTGATGATCAAACAGTCAATAGTCAATACACATCCTCATGCTTCTATCTTTCTTCTTTTACAAACAATATTGGTACGTCCTGCATGCATACACTTGGTTGGATAAACCCAATGTCCAACAATGCGATTCATTTTGTCTATATTCAGACAAAAAGCTGACATAGGTGTTATGGGTAGAATTTTGTTCACATCTAATCCCATTCGCTCTCTTATCTTTCGTCGCTCAGTGTCAATGTTGGCCCAATAGAGTACTTTTGCCGTTGGTGTTCTTTCCGATCTCTACGCATTTCACCGCTCCACCCGATTTTGATTTGCACTTATAGGATATATCTTCACATTACCATTTCTTTTTGTTATGACTTTTTTTTTTCAATTCATTTCATAACAATTCTTGAATGAGGCCAGGGATGAATTGAAAAAGAAATCTTCATTTGTTCTACCTCATTCAAGAGTTTTTATGTGTTTCCACGCCTTTTAGGACCTCGACAAATGGACCATTGTCAATTTCAAGAATCTGATTTTCAATATCAAAATAGATAGAATTACTGTCTCCCATCGAGGAGTGAAATAAAATATGAAACAGTAAGCTCCCAAGCAGTGGGAGGAGCCAAGTCTCTGAAACCCATTCACTATTTAAAAATAAGCAAATCGATCCCTCTATTGTGTATGAAGGAATGATCCATTTTTTTTATTTGACTGATGGGGCCAACAAACAATAAATTATAACAAAAGCCATGCATGCTCTACATCTGGAAGATCTGCGAATCCCTCTTGCTTATATTAAAACTTTCTTTATTGCTCTTTTATTTTTTTTTCTTTTTTTTTTTCAATAACTCCTAGAACGTGGGTCTCCAAAACTCAATGTCGTAGGTTCAAATCCTACAGAGCGTGATTTTTTTGCAACTGAATTTTCAACTCCTAAATTTCCTTTGGGGCTATTTTGTATAGAGCTTGAAATACTAGTGCCGCTCCAGGAACCAGATTTATTTGGAACTCTACCTATCTATTTGGGGAGTGCCTACCACTGGTATATCCTCAATCTTCATAGCCGTTTGCTTTTCTCGAGAGATGTTATCTAGAAACTATTGGTATTTTTTTCTCGACATTTTCTCTTCTTGCAAAGTCCATATGAATTGGAGATGGAGTTTGGTCGTTACTCCGATGAAAGAAAATTATTCTTCTCCTAGTTTTTTAAAAGACACTTTTCGTTTCTCTATAATGGATAGTTGCATAATTACATACTAATCATAAACAAAATCACATCAAAGTCTTTTATTTCTATTATATATAACTTAACTTTCAATGTTTTTTCCTCAATTTCAAGATTCATCGACCTAGCCAGAGTTGGAGACATTGGGGTCTTCGTTGGGCTACAGCCCTGCAATGCCCCTAGCCCATGTAATTCTTTAAGAAAAGATTTTGAAAATGTAGCCCAAGTCCATTCCTCACAAACACCACCCAATATGACACAAGATGATCTAAAAAGGCAACCACCATCACCAAGACATGGCCCATTCGCATCTCAGTACGTGATCAAAGATCGACACAGAGCCCTCTCGACCTTCATAGTCATCTTCTTGGTGTTAGCAGGAATCACAGCCCTTGTAGTTTGGTTAGTTTATCATCCCCATGACCCCAAGTTCAAAGTTGTGAGTTTAGTCATTTATGACCTAAACTTCACCTCCCCACCTTACATGTTTGCCACCATGCAATTCACTGTGGTCACTAGGAACCCTAATGAGAAAGTATCCTTTTACTATGACCAGTTATTTGTGTTTGTTTCTTACAAAAACCAGGTCATAACTCCTCCATCGAGTCTGTCCCCTTTGTATTATGACTCGAAGAGCACAGTTGCTTTGTCTCCGGTGCTAGGTGGAGGGGTAGTGGCGGCGTCGATCAAGGTGGCCAATGGGTTAGTGATGGGTCGGTCTTATGGGTTGGTGAATTTGAAGCTAATCTTGACTGGGAAGGTAAGGTACAAGGGTGGAGCCATAAGAACTACACATTATGAAATATATGTAAATTGTGATGTGTCTGTAAGCTTCAAGCAGGGGTTTTTACAGGTCAGGTCCTTTGATTGGATCATCAGAATGCCAAGTTGATGCA